ACACATGTATATGTTCACCTTGTAAGAAATGAAACATTACAGAAAAGGAGATCATAAATGTTCTTTTTTATTAAATCAGTTTGGAGGGTTTCCTTCCAGATCTTTTTTTCCGTGTTTACATATGTAGCCATTAGAAATATATACTATTCTTTTGTAACACTTTAAACAAACGATAGTGTTATGCTGTATGTATCATTTGCAATTTGATTTTTTTTAAGGATTTAAAAGAAAAAGATTTATTTATTTGAGAGAGTGAAAGCAGGAGTGGGAGGGGCAGAGGAACAGGGAAAGAAAATCTCCAGCGGACTCCTTGCTGAGCATGGAACCTGATGTGGGGCTCGATCTCATGACCCTGAGATCACAACCTGAGCAGAAACCAAGAGTTGGCCACCCAACTGACTTTGCCACCCAGGTGCCCCTTAAGGTTTTATTTATTTATTTATTTGAGAAATGGGGGCAGGACCAGGGGAGGGGCTGAGGGAGAGAAGCTCCAGCAGACTCTGTGCTGAGCATGGAGCCCAATGCAAGGCTCGATATCATGACCCTGAGGTCATGACCTGAGCCAAAATCAAGAGTCAGAAACTTTATTGACTGAGTCACCTAAGTGCCCTTGCAATCTGATTTTTTTTTTTAAACTCAAAATATGTCTTAGAGATTTAATTCTCTTGGTACTTAATCTTTCACTGCCTTCTCCTCCTCCTCCTCCTCCTCCTCCTCCTCCTCCTCCTCCTCCTTCTTCTTCTTCTTCTTCTTTTTAGATTTTATTTATTTGACAGAAAGAGAGCAGAAGCAGGAGTAGCAGCAGGCAGAGGGAGAGGAAGAAGCAGGATCTCCACTAAGCAGAGAACCTGATGAGGGGCTCGAACCCAGGATGCTGGGATTGTGCCCCGAGCTGAGACCTTTTTTTTTTTTTAATTAACATATAATGTATTATTTGCTTCGGGGGTACAGGTCTGTGAATCATCAGTCTTGCACTATTCACAGTCCTCACCGTAGCACATACCCTCCCCAGTGTCCATCACTCAGCCACTCTATCCCTCACCTCCCACCCCCCAGCAGCCCTCAGTTTGTTTCCTGAGATTAAGAGTATCTTATGCTTTGTATCCTTCCCCAGTTCCATTTTATTTCATTTTTCCCTCCTTCCCCCCACGATCCCCCACTCTGACTCTCAAATTCCTCATATCGGAGAGATCATATGATAATTGTCTTTCTCTTATTGACTTATTTCGCTCAGCACAATACCCTCTAGTTCCATCCATGTCATTGCAAATGTGAGCTGAGATGTTTAACCAACAGAGCCACCCAGGTGCCCCTCTTTCACTGTATTCTTAATTATTCCATAGTATGATTTATACCATCATGGCTTATTTATGCTTTCATCTATTAGTGCACACTGAAGTTTTAAATTTCAAGCTGCAAATAATTCTATAGTGGACATCCGTGTACTGCTTCTTACTCTAGGGTAGATGCTCACACGTGGAATTACTAGATCCTAGTGTACTTAAAGTTTTACTAGATTCACCCAAGTTGCTTTCAAAAGGACTGTGTAGCTATTTCTCTCTGGTTTCCGCACAATGTAAATATTGAAAAACTTGGCATGCTTATGGGGTTTCTGAAGGTCTCAATATGCATTTCCCTGATTACTAATAACTGGCTTTTCACGGTTGCTATTGGCCATTTGTGTTTCCTTTTTGGTAAATTACCTGTTCATGTCCTATCCCCATTTTCTTCTTTTGCTTAATCCTTTATATATTGATTTGTAGGAGTTAGCAACTATGCTGTAAAAATTTCTCCTAGAGACTCTTTAAGACAACATTCCATGGTCTCGCTCTTGCCCATTCCTCTTGAGTATGAGCCAGGAATTTTTCTCTCTCTCACTCCACCATGTAGAGCTGTAACATCTGATGAAAAGCAACTTTCCTAAAGTTGCATGATGTGAGAGAGTCACACAGGAATAAATACAAATTAGTGGTAGTAAGGATACTGTCTTGGAACACACAGATCCACAACCATTGTAACATAAATACATAAAACATGAGAACGTACAGGATTGTGTGTAGTAGTTAAGACTTTGGGTTTGGGGCCAGACTACCTTAGTTCAAATCTGGCCTCCTTTCCTTCCTAATAAATGTGTCCCTCTAGCCGTCAGTTTATCATCCATTAAAATGGACACAATAAGAATATCTGTATTATAGGATTGTTGTGAGAATTAAGTGAGCTAATGAATACAATATATTTTTAGCAGGGATTGGTACATGGTGAACTCTAATGTTAGCTATTACATTAATAAGAATTCGACTTTCATGTGATTTTTTTTTTAATCCAATCTGATTTCTGTCCCAAGGTAACTGAATGTGTGTTTTGGTGTGTTGCCTTCAGTATCTAGTAACTACATCCTAATGAATGCTTAGATAACATGGTTATCTGAAGGAAAGGATTAAAAATAAAAATAACAGCATGTATTTTTTAAAAAGACATACCAGTTGTAAAGCTGAGATGCAGGAGTTCCAATGCACAAAGCAACGTTTTTACAGTATACTTACTGAGGATGGTGGGCATTTCTCCTTGCCAGTGATAGTGGTGCAGCTCAGGTGATTGTGTAAACACAATTTATTATTTACTTAGCTTGTCAGCTTTATAATTATGCAATTTTAGATTAATTTTTATTTGTAGGCATTTGCACTATTTCATAATTCATGCATTAAATGAGAGTTGATTGCTTGTTTTTTCCTGTGCCATGATTTCCACGTCTCCTAATTCAGGGTTGCCTGCACTATGACCCCTATAAACTCGCAGGAAGTTGACTGGGCCATGTGTCCTCTGAGCTGTTCATCCCAGTGGTCAGTGCAGGGTGGGGCCTTCTGATCCGGCTGGGAGTAATTATTATTTTTTTTAAGTGTGGGGCAAAACATCTCAGACTCACTCAAGGCTGAATTCAGAATTTGCTTTGGGGTAAGGGATGCCTACAGTACGTGATTTAGTGGATTATCTCACGACTCCCGAATGGATGGAATAGATGTTCTGGTTTTCAAATAGGCTGCTCCTTGCCCTCCTCTCCTCAGAGTCCTCACTCTCTGTATGCACGTGTGCCACCTCAGCCCCTCAGAGCCAGGGTGAAGTTCACAATCCTGGAACATCTTTCCTGAGCTTCTAAGATATAACAGCATTCCTCTCATTTTGCTTTTTTGTCATTGAATCTGGGAGTGGGACTTTGCATGCCCCACTGTTTGGGGAGGGAGGGAAGGACAGGTAACAGATACAGGCCCTTGACAGGAAGTTATCATGCTAGTGACACTGGTATGTGAGCCTTTTTGTCAGGTGCACTTAAAAGGTTGGGATCATAACCACTTCAAACTCACTAAAATGGCTAACGTCAGAAGGACCGACAGTAGCCAATGCTGGTGAGGACGAGGAACAACTAGAACTCTCATCCATTGCTGGTGGGATTGTTCAATGGCGCAAATATTTTGGAGAATTCTATCTTGTCAAGTTCAACATAAATCTACCTCATGACCTAGCAATTCCACTTCCAGGAATCCACCTATAGGGAATGAAAATATATGTCCGCATGAAGGCCTGTCCAGGAGTGTTCGCAGTACATATTCACAATAGCAGAGGATGGACTAGCCAGCAAGAGTCTGGAGAAGCGGTCTGTGCAACAGTCGTGTGTTGGATACTACTCAGCGCCAATGAAGAATGTACTACAGACTTGCATAACAGCAAAGGTGAACCTCAGGAAACATGACGTTGAATAAAGAAGGTGGATATAACAATAAAGATGGCTCCCTGTATATGAAGTCCAAGAGGAGGCAAAACTTATCAATGGGAAGAGAAATCAGAACAGTGGTTGCCTCTGGAGTGGGGATGGTAGGGCTGGGATTGTTGGGAAGGGGCACAAGGGAACTCTGAGGGCAGTGTTCTACTTGTTACTTGGGTGAGAACGTGATTGTCACAAGTCACCCAACATAACATTTACGGTCTGTTCATTTTCTTGTATATAAATTATGTCTGAATACCATTTATTGCATACATGCGTTAAAGGTCATGGTTAGCTTTTTGGTGTTTATTTATTTTGCTGTTTTATAGTCCTAATTATTTGTGTTCTCCAAGGTCATCTTCATTTGCAATGCTATATGACATAACATCTTAACTGTATACGAGGAAGTCTTAATCTGCAGTCTGTTGATAGCTTTCAGTGGATCCTTGACCCCACAAAATTGAACGCAAAATTTTGCATGTCTGGGTCTTTTTCTTTTCCCTTGAGGAGTGACTTCATAGCTATCACCATATCCTCAAAAGGGTCTGCGACCCAAAACATATTTAAAATAGATCCTCTGCGTTAGATGGTTCATGCAGAATGTGTAGGAAACAGTATCAGGAGTTAAAGATCAATAAATAAATAAATCTCACACTGTTTCCAGTTGATGTTCAAGGAACCAAGCCTCTAATAGTTTACAGATTAAAACTGGCAGATGTCAGTGGCTCCATGAAACTAGCAAAAATGAGAGTAACCTTCTGGCCAGGGAAATAGAATACAGTCCTGATGAGAATAGCAGGCAGAATCAGCGCACCATAAAAGAGCTTTTAATCACATTTACAGAGAAAGACGCCTGCTATTCACAAGTATCATATACTGGGTCTATTTTAAATATTGAAAATAGATGAACATAATAGAAGCAACAGCTAAGATTCAACTGTAAAAAATTATTTAATGCTCTTCTCTTGACAGGAAAAAACAATTACCATAGTGAACGCTAACAGAATTGTATCAGGTGCAGCTTTGCCAGTGTTTAACAAAAGAAGACAATTTTGATGTGGCTCAGTTATGGCAATTTTCATCCACTGACTTTTGACAATTGGTTATTCATTCTCAGTCCCTGATTGCAGGGAGACAGTGCAGCATTCAATGGGTGGCATCAGGTTGTAAATGCTCTTTGAGACGTGAAGTTGTTCTGAGCACATCTAAGAACCGTGGCTTGCTTTTATGTGGTTATTGACAGGTTTCTGTGGTCTGTTTTGTCCAATGTGCCTTGAGTGTGACATCGCCAGGCATCATGGAGAGTGCCTTTGTTGGCCATTGTTACCCGGGTCCACCTTTGCACTGAGAATTGGCACCAGAGAGAGACATAAAATACGGGTAAGTGTGTTTGAACCGGTATGTGAACTTGGATCTATATAAGAATCTAAATGTCTTTCAAAGCTGTGGTTTAAAAAAAAAAAAGTCTGCGTGAGAATGCTTAAAAAACGCCACATTTAGCAGAAGAGTTTGGGAAAGGAAAGGGAAGAAATTTCTGACTTCATTCATATGGACTAAAATGGACAGGATGAAAGGCATCTCCAAGGGGGTACCTATTATAATGCTCATCAGGTCAATGGGCCGCTTCTGTTTCTCTCTCTCTTACTGCATCAAGAGAAGATGACAGGTAGAATGGTACCAAATTTGGAGGATTTACTTGGGATGGTCTAAGTGAAAATGAAGAATATGGGGCATATGCAGAATTCACTTTGAGGGTTCCCTGGGGATGCTTCAAAGAGCCAGTGTCACTTTCCAGGGCAGCTGAGCCTAGGTACAACGAGAGACTGAGCACAGAAAGTCATACATATCAGGATGTAGACAGTTAAAAATAAAAAAGACATTTCCTTATATACCTAAATGGAATGATCCCTAAAATATATTTCAATATATTGATTCAATATATTGAATATTGAATTGAATTGAATATATATTCAAATTCAATTTGAATTCAATTGAATTCAATATTCAAATTCAATTTCAATTCAATTGAATTGAATATATATTCAAAAATATATTTTATTCAATATATTGAATAAAAGGTACAAGACACAGAAGTACGCAACTATTTACATATAAGGACTATATATGTACTTGTGCCGACATAGAATTTATCTGGAAGTGTACATAAAAACCTGCCAACAACAGCTGCCCCCAGATAAGTTAAGTGGGTAGCTGGGGACAGCCGGGGAAGAGGGATGTACTTTTTACTTCCTGTGCCACCTTACTGTGAGAACGTTGGACCATAGGCATTTATTACCCACTCCAAGGAAAGAAATAAAGTAATTAGAAGTATTAAGTCCTAATAGAAAAAAAAAAGATGCTGACAGAGAAACCAGTGGTTTCAAGTGTGAAGTCTGTGTCAGAAGCCCTAAGTGAGCCAGGTCTCTGAGCTGCAAGGATTGGTAAGCAGTTGAGCTGCTTGGCCCTTGGGTGTCCTGGTGGAGCCGTGTCCCCGGGTGTCCCCGTAGGGCATTGATTTGGTGGAACTCGGAAGCAGTGGACGGGATAGGCTCCTGGGGGATGGCACGGAGCCTGCGTGACTGCTCCAGGACAGAGGCGTGGGTCTCACCCTAGGGCACGCTGTGTGAGGACTGGCTCGCCGTGCACTGCTGTTGGCCCTTCTCCATCTGCCAGGTGGCCCGGGAGCTCAAGATGAGGGCCTCCCGACTCTACGAAATCTACACGGCTCCTTCAACCAAGGACAACCTTATCTGACAGAGCGAGAAAAGTCCTCCTCCTCACCCACTCCCCAAGCCCCTCCTAGAAGAGAGATTGTTCTTAAGTTTTCATGGAAATAGTATGAAAATAAATGATTTCTCCGCTATGGTCTTTACTCTCGTTCGTTCTTCACACACACCTCCGATGAAGTCTCTCTGGCATCCCAGCCTCGCCACATAAGGCAGGTTCTAGAGACGAGCTTGTGCCTTCCACACCTGCCTAGAGTTGGAGAAGGTTGCATTTCCCCCATCTTCCTACCACCATCCTTCCCTGGGAAGCTTTCTTCCCTACCCCCTTTTGCCCACAGAGCCAGTAGTGGGGCAGGAGACGGTTGATCTTAGTTAGCACCTGGACTGGACACGAAGCATCACTAAATCAGAGAGGCACTGACTGTCCTTCCCTTGTCCTGACTCCTTCAGTCTGCACCGCATGAAGGAGACGGTCCCGGGTGGCTGCAAATCTTGAACACCTCTCCGACACTGGCGGATCTTGGCCCCGAGCTTGAAGCCCTAGGTGGGCAGCTGAATTGCGTCCGACCCCCGCCTGCACTGAAGTGATACGCTGAAGTCCTAACTCCTTGCGTCTGCGAATGTGGCCTTACGTGGAAATAGGGTCTTGCAGACGTAATTAAGACAAAGTCATTGGGTGGGCCCTAATCCAGCGTGACTGCTGTCCTCACGAAAAGGAGAGAAGAGACACAAAGATAGACACACAGAGGGAAGACAGCCGTGTGAAGACGGGTACAGAGATCGGAGAGATGCAGCCACAAACCAAGGCATGCCTGGGTGACCAGAAGCTGGAAGAGGCAAGGGAGGAGCCTCCTCTGGAGGTCTTAGAGGGAGCCTCGCCCTGCCCACATCTTGATTTTGGATTTGGAGCCTCCAGAACTGGGAGAGATTGAGTTTCAATTGCTATAAGCCAGCCAGTTTGCGGCACTCAGGTACCACCATCCTGGGATGCGGGTCCAGCCACCGTCAGCCCCGGGAATGCAACATTCTTGATTTTGTTCGGGCGGCAGCACAGAACAGGGCTGAGGAGCCTGGGTCCTGAAGCCCGGACCACCTCCTGCATTTGCTGAGTGTGTAACTGTGGGCGAATGTTCTGATGCCTCTGTGCCTCTGTTTCTTCATCTGTAAAAGGATGAGGCTGACCTCAGAGAGCTGTGAGGATTCTCAGAAGTCAAGACTCTTAGCCCACTGCCTGGCAAGTAGCAAGGACTCAGTAAATAGGAGTTGTTAGAACTCTTTATTTTTTATTTATTTATTTTTTTAAGATTTTATTTATTTATTTGAGAGAGAGACAGTGAGAGAAAGCATGAGCGAGGAGAAGGTCAGAGAGAGAAGCAGACTCCCCGCGGAACTGGGAGCCCGATGCGGGACTCGATCCCGGGACTCCAGGATCATGACCTGAGCCGAAGGCAGTCGTCCAACCAACTGAGCCACCCAGGCGTCCCTGTTATAACTCTTTAACGGCTACTTTATGTTCACAGCAAATTATGTTAGTTTCCCATTTATACCTGGGATGTAAAGTTTTCAATTAAATTTTAGATTAAAGTGGAATCCATTCAAATAATGTTAAGTAAATAACAGTGTGGGTGGCTGGTAGGTGTGGCAAACACTGTGAAGGTGGGAAAACCGTTTTAGTGGCTACCTGTGTATGCCAGGCACTGTTCAAAGTGCTCTAAGTGTTTTAAGACATCTAATCCTTTCACCCCTCAAGAAGATGCTATTATAGCTCCTTTTTCCAGAAAAGGACCCGAGCCACAGAGTAGCTAAGTGGTTTGGCCATGGCCACATAGCTGTTAGGTGACAGGCATTTAGGTGCTTGAGGCTATGCTCTTAACCTCTGCACTAATAAGCAAGCGGAGAAGGCTTCTGGCCAAGAGGTCTTCCTGGGCCCGCGTGGTCATCCAAGCTGGGAGTTTCCTCTCCAGAGATGAACCCAGCCTGGGGAACTCTGAGAGGTTGTGGCAGCCATCCCCACAGATCCTCAGCCATTCCCGTCTGACAAAATGATTCCTCTCCTCCTGGCCCTCTCTGTTGGACAGTCCTGAGCAGCTGCCAGGAACCAACGTCCTCTGGGAAAATCAAGTGCTCAATGTTGATATTTAATCTGTGATAACATGTTCCCCCTCCAAGCCAGCTACTGAAAAAACCAGGCCCGAGGGACAACTAAACCGGTTTTATTGTTCCATGCTAAAACACACATCAGGCTTCACAAGCTTCCAGCTGGGAACAGTACGCAGTTCTGACAGAGGGGACTTGGGTAATGCCTCCACTTTGGCATGATGGGCCCCTCCCCGTGTGGAGAGCAGACGGTACTGTGGGCCCTGGTCTCTGGCGTGGGCCTCCTGTGCTGGTGGGAGCTGCAGGAGGACCTGTCCAGCAAGGTGACTCCTGTTTCCCTTGACTTCTTCTCTTTAGTCTGGCTGGTAAAAAGCAAACTCATTAGAGCCACAACCCCAAACAAAACTGTGGGCTCCGTGGTTCTACCACGGAATCATGGAACAGAAAACAGAAATATGATGTGGACAGTTCTTTGAAAGCTGATGGTGGAGAGTGGTCCCAAAGCAAGGCAGCTTAAGGCCCTGACTTCTGGTTTCCTCCACATGTCAGGTGGAGGAAAAAGGGACCCAAAATACATGCTTTCTTCCCAGGAGAAAAGTGAACCAACACCCAATATTGACGTAAGAGACAACTCTGGTATTAAACTTCCCTTTCCTCAGATCTGCAAAGAGCTGTCAGTGGTACAAATCCGAGGGTTTCCCAACACTGAAGTCATGTTCTATGTATTTTTCTTTTCACTAGAAAATTTCTTTTGGTTTTCCAAGATGCAAAGTGTGGAACAAATTTCTGATGTCTCCCTGTAGGCAAACAACATGAACACACAAGCAACAGACATTTCAAAGTAATCCATACAGATTGTTATAAATTATAAAACTAGAAAACACATAAAACCTGACCAAACTTCTTGCCTTTACAGTGGAATATACTAAGGAAATAAGCTTCCAGCCTTGGAACTTTCTAGTTTTTGGAACAAAGATATGAAAACTTTCAAAGTCCTTAAGTGTCCCCTGCTCTATAAAATAATTTTTTATACGTTTCTATATTTTATATACCTAAGCTTTACTTATACAACAGTCCATAATGATTAAGATTTTACATTACATTTTATAAACATCACTCACATACACATTACCTCATCAAGATTCTCTTTTGGTCTATTAAAAACACTGTACTTAAAAAAACAGGACACAAGAGTCTATAGGTTCTCTGCTTGCATTTCAATGGGGGAGTGAATTTTTCTCCCCTTCCATTTTGTCTTTCTGCTTTTTCCCCTAAACGACACCTTCTCCCAGAGCCCCATGGAATAAGCAGCAGCAACAATTCCAGAGGATGAAACCCAGACTCTGTGGTTAGCAACTATCCCAGGGTATTCTAGGGTAAATTTCTGGGCTGACCTCATCCTGGCCATTCTAATTTATCCTCACCCACTTCCCTGCTCTCCCACCACTTTCTGGCCCATGACTTCTTGGAATCCCTATGGTGGAATCTATATGATGGAACCGACAGTCCAAAGATGGATCAGAAAACTTTAGGGAACAGGGAGAGTGGGGTGCTTTTCTCAAGCTTCTGTTCGGCTGGCAACAAATCAGATTCTTCATTTAATGTTTTAAAAAAATATTTTGGTCTATTGCCTAAGCAGATTCTAAATCTCCATGAAACCCTCCACTTGATAAGGCATGGAAAATTCCTGGAGACTTAAAAAACAGCAAGTGTACAAATTAGGAGTGGTGGTTTCCTGTTGCTGTGAACAGGAGACGAAGAAGAAAGAAAATGTGAGAAGCAGCAAAGGGGAATGAGAGGCTCTTGAACACAAGGCTGTAATTAGCTCATGTGGTCTGATGGGTTCTGGGGACTCGAAGTTGTTGTGGTCCACCCACCACCCCATTTTATACAACTTGCTTTTGTGTGGGCAGCCTGCCTGTCCCTCACCTTTCCAAGCATCATCTGTAAAAGTAAAATTCCTTCCATCTCTGACATTCAAATGATTTTTCTCTGGAAAATGAAGTCACCGAAACCTATTTATAGGTGTGCTGTAAGGCCTCATGGTAGTAACAAGGAGATCCCGGAATCTGAAGGCAGCATTTCTGAATCCTTTGCTGCTGGGACAAAAGAGGAGCCAACCAAACCTGAACTCATCCCAGAGGAAAGGGAACAAACACTGAATCAGAGTAGTTAAGAGAGAAGGGATGACAGACAATTGGCCACGCATCCCTAACTGTGTGTGAGAGGCAGTGTCATCCCTGAATCCTCCTTTCTGTGGTCTCTCCATACCTCTTAGCATCTCACTCACCACCTGGCAGATAAAGCCAATACTCTTGGGTCATTGTTGCTTATTATCACTTTCCCCTGGGGTTAACTGAGAGGAGGTTGTGGCTAAAAAGTCCCAGTTATTCATTTAATCAAGAGATGGGTGCTAGTCTGAGCCCTGCACGTGGCAGCTTCACCTAGAAGAAAGCATTCCTGCAACCACCAATTATGGTCCTCACTCGGCTCATGGTCTGGCTCCTGCTTGCTCCTGCTTACAAGGCTTACAAGACTGCATGAAAGGCAGTTTCATGACGAGGTTTCAGTGCTAAATTATAATCCTGAACTTTAAACCAACCAACGCATCCAAATACTGCTGTGTTCTTGTCCATTGTCTTTAATAATCAGGGCAGCATGTGCTTTTAAAAATGAAATTCTCACTGATGTCTTAAGATGGGGAGAAGATGAGAATATATTGGCTCGGAGTCTCAGGGTACTTCTGATTTGCATTTATCGGTACGGTGGCTCTCTCTGGTCGCCACAGATCATTTAAAATTTGTATTTTAGGGTAGGGGTGCCCGGCTGGCTCAGTCGGGAGAGCATGTGACTCTTGATCTCGGGGTTGTGAGTTTGAGCCCCACACTGGGTGTAAAATTTGTATTTTAGAGTTTTTAAAACCAGGCATAGAAGATCATCTAATGACTTGCCCTTTAATATGACTTGTTTCTGGACAAAAAAAAGAATACAATAGCCTCTCTGTAGTCTGTGGTAGCTCTCTTACTACATCATGGATTTTTCTTCTGAAATCCTTTATGTACCAAGTCCTCATTTCTTTAATCAGTATGTCCTAACAGAAACCCTCTCGATCAGACAGTTTCAGGGGGAAAGATAGCACGGAATTGGATTGGAAAAGAACACAGATGTGGTGGGAGGACTCGGGGTGCTTGGGTGGGAGTCAGGAGAGGGGGTGAAAGCTAGGGGCTTTGTGAAGAGGCACTGGCCTCTCTGGCTTGAATATCCAAGAGGAGAGTGTCAGGCCGCCACTGCTCCAAAGGTGAGCTGGGCAGACTGGCCAGTCACAGAGCTAGAAGGAATGTGATGTCTGGTCTTTTCATTTGTCAGTTAGGTGCCAAGGTGTGAGAAACCGGCAAGATAAAATTTGGCTCTGGCAAAAGGACAGAATAACAGGAGGGGTGGGAGTTTGCTGGAACCTGGAACAGCCCGTGAGTCACGCGCTGGTCCCTATCCTGGGTCACCACCCACGGATGCTCCAGTTGAGGACAGATGTGTTCCTTCTCCTATTGCCCTTCTGTCCCAGAGCCCGGCCTGCTGGTATTCCAGTACCATCCCTGATGTCTGAGGACTATCACATGGTCCACAAACTCCCCATTGAGCAGTTTCCATCCAAGCAGATCATGTGTTCTCTTCCGTATCCCAGTTGTTCCTAGCTCCTTCTGGGAAGATGACCAAGGCAGGGTCTGCGAAGGTGAAAAAGATTTCAGATTCTATTCTGTGTGAGCGCACCCTGGAAAGAACTATAGTTCTTTAAAATCATCAAGCCTTTTGGACAGAAGCCTTTCTTTTCATTTCACAGAAGAGGTGTTCATCCTATTGGGAGGTACACAGCCTCTAGCTCCCTGCTCCTGGTGATGCTAACTGTGGTCTTAGGTGAAGGTGGTTCTCTACTGGGCTTCTCTGCTCTCAAGTTGCTGTTTTCCCCTTTGTGATTAATCAGGGTCATGAGAGGAAATACTCTGAGCTCTTCAAGCTTTCATCCACTAATTTTAATATCTACTGATGATTCTTGTATGAACCAAGTATGAGCCTAGTGGCTGCCAAATGGTAATTTAAAAAAATTCCATCATTCCTTCTACATTTAGTAGTTGGCACTCTAAGGAAAAGTTTTCCTTATATTTATATAGCATGGACTCGGGGACTTCTATCTGATGCTAAAGATTATCTGTTACTGCTAAAAATGAGTGGGCTGAGTCTAATGATGGAGAAATATCAGACAAACGCTAATGGAGAGAGAGTCTACAAAATAAAAGGCCTATATTCTTCAAAATGTGAAGGTCATGAAAGACAGTGAATCTTGAGGAACTGCTCCAGATTGAAAGAAATTAAAGAGAGATGGTAATTAAATGCATTATTTGGTCCTGGATGGGACCCTAGATAACACATTACATTTTTTTGTTTCCTGTGAAGGAAAAAGAGTAGACAACAGAAAACATAGCAGGGTAATTAAATCAGACCTGTAGACTAGTTAACAATTCTTTATCAGTGTTACCTTCCTGGCTTTGGTTGTTGTATTGTGGTTATGTAAGAGCACATCTTGCTTAGGGGATAGGCTGAAACGTTTAGTGACGGATGGGCATTTGATTTTCAGCTTATTCTCAAATGGTTCAGAAAAATTACATATATATAAAATTTACATTAAATATTTAGGTAATGTTAACTAATATATATTATATAAGACCATATATGAGGAAGAAAGAAACCTTGGTAAGATGTTAGTATCTAGGGTATCTTGCTTTGAAGGGTTTTTAGGAATTCTTTTGTACTATTTCAGCAGTATTTTTGTAAGCCTGAAATCCCTTCAAAAAACAAAGTTAAAATCCATGAGCCTCCAGAATTTCTCCAAGGCCTCAAATACTCTACTTGGATGACCAAACTCAACGTGCATCCCCACCATCCCCACGTATATAACCAGTGTTGTTCTTGTGCTGTCTGGCCTGCAGCCCCTTTTTTATCCCCGAGGCCGAGAATGTTCAGAAGGCAGGCAGCAACAACTCGGGCGGCCCCTGACCAGGTGAGGGCAGGTGATCTGAACACCTAGTCCAAGCGCTGGCTGCTCCCATGACTTTGCTGCTTGGCTCCGGGGCCCTCCTCAGTGCAAGTGAAATCCCAGCTGCTCATGCTGAAGGGGGGCAGAAGGACGCCTAAAGGCCGATGGGAAACTGGTCCAAGAGTGCTTAGCAAGACTTGCCTTCTGAAAGTCTCAGCCCCAGAGCCTGTCCATGAGCAAGTTCCCATGCGAACCCAGTAAAACCGGAAGTGAGCAGAGAGGGAGCCGGCCATCTGTTGCCCAGTTGCCTTCACCTGAGCCTGATTTATTTTCTCTCCGAGCACTCCTGCCTGATTTAACAGATCAGTTCTCTCTTTGGGGAAACTTCAGTGATGTTCATAGTCTCGTTCTTTGCAGGATGGCATGGGTACCCATCTTGCCAGCAATTTATGGGAAACACTTGGGTTCCCCCAAACCCCCACTCTCCAAAGGCAGTCAGTCCTGAAGAAGCCCTGAGTCTTCCAGCAGGCAGCTGCGTTTGGACTCAAAACTGAGCTCCCCTGAGCTCGCTGGGCCTGCGAATGCAGTGCAGCGTTTACTCATTTGCGGACGTGCTCCCTTCGGCCCATTAGCAAGGAAGAGGGGTCCGAGTCTCCAGGTGGCTGTTCACGTTCAGCGGGCGAAGCAGGCATGGGTACGACGTCTGTGATTCCTGCGATGCATTCTGCAGCTCACCATGTCAGTAAGCTAGGATTTGCAATCATGCTCTCTCCCCCGTATACCACCCAACATGGGCAGGAGTTCTCTGCTGCTGTTGGTGACTTTTAGCCCTTGAAAGGGAAGCCACCGGCGTTGGATATACCCTGCTTCTCTTCCGTCTACCGAAACTGGTGTTTGTGCTGGTCCTGGGCACGTGCCTTTGGAGCTGGGTTAATACCACTTGGGCCCAGAGAATGGCTTCTTTTATCTGCAGATCGGGCCTGGTGTCAGCAGCTGGGAGCGTGTCCCTCTGAGAGCAAAGGCAAGGCGATTTGAGATGATGGTGTCTGGATCTCCAGGAAGTGGTGCTGGTTTGTTTGCTCTTTGAACTGCATTTATTGTGATGTAGCACTTCTGAGAGGGAGGGCAGAGGCAGGAAAGTAATAAGGAAGTGACTGCCAAGGGAAGGCTGGCTGCCACATCAATCTGGCCTTCCGGGTTGTGCTAAATGATGTAGAAAGAACTTCAACTCCAAGATCGACTGACATTTCAGTAGGCACCTGAAAATCCCATCCGTGATGGGAGGTGTGAATTTACCTATGGCTGGCCCGCTGTAGTTGGGGGACGCAGCCCTTGTGAGTGCTGGGGCTACAGGCCAGGGGTTTTGGGATTAGGCAGGTAATAACTCTTTGTTTACTGGCTGCTCAGAAGACAAGTCTATCTGAAGTAGAAAAACCTGATGTCTGCAGGAAAGCTTTCCCGTTTCATTGTAAATGAGGTGGCGAGCAGTCAGCAGCCCAGACTGGAGTCAGATTGCCTGGGTTTATTTCCGAACTCCACCAGTTCCCAGCTGTGTGGCCCTGCGGAAGTTATTTATTTGCTCTGGGTCCGAGTTTCTTTATCCGTAAAAGGGGGATAGTAACAGTACTTACTTTGCACGGTTTTGGTGAGACGTTTAAATAAGTAAATAATATAAGACATAGGACAGTGTCTGGTACATAGAGGGGATCTGTAATTGTTGGCACAAAAGTATCATGATAAATTGAGAGACGTCTTTAAGACTGTTTCTGTGGTCCTGCTTCTTGATTATCTCCAAGAATGGAAAATGCTACAGGTGGAGACAGATCATTAAATGGGCTTATTGTTACACTCAGCTGCAGCTTCCTTTGCCTTAAAGACCTAAATCTCTGTTCTCTGTCTCTCTGTTCTCTGCCTCTCTCTGTTCTCTGTCTGATAATTTCACACACTAATCTGAAAATAAGGATGATAATAATAACTCTAGGGGCAGCTGGGTGGCTCAGATGGTCAAACGTCTGGCTTTAGCTCGGGTCATGATCCTGGGGTTTTGGGATTGAGCCCCTTGTTGGGCTTCCTGATCAGCGGGGAGCTCCCCCTGCTTGTGCTTACTCTGTCAAATAAGTAAAATCTTAAAAACAACAACAACAACAACAACAACAACAACAACAACAACACTTTAGATGGTTGCTGTGAGATGGTCTCTTTTATTCTCCCCATTATGTGGATGAGAAAATTGAGACTCAGAGAAGTGAAGTGACTTGCTCAAAGTCACAAAGTGAGTTACCCCTGGGCTACAGGTGTGTCAGTTCTGTAGCCTGGATTCTTCCCTACTCTGCCAGAGAAAGTTTGGGGCTGGAGGTGGGGAGGAGAGAGGGAGGAGGCAGGAGGCCCCCAAGCAACAATGTTCTCAGAGTGAGTGAGTGAGTGCACATGGAAATTCAGTACGTATATCCTAATGATAACTAAGCAGATGACATACCTTGACTACCCAATTCCAAACAGACATCCTGACTGCTTTTAAAAAATGACAGATTGCTTTTTGCTTGTTGCACAGTCCTTGCTCAAAGAGCTGTGTGGGCCAGTCCCCTTGTTTTCCAGACAGGGAGTGGGGCTGGAGAAAAGGCAGTCATTTGCCTCTATGCATGTGGCATCTCCCCAGAGCTGCTCCTCCCTTTTCAAGGGCCCTTTTTGGCAGGAACAAAGAGGATGAACCTATTCTTCAATTGTTGGTTCAACACATATTTATTGTACGATCAAAAATGTTGGATAAATTAATGAATCTCCTTGACATTTGAGCTTGTTTCTGTTCGCCTGTGACACTGCCTGTCTGGTTCCTTCTTGATCTTCAGTCTCCGTGCACACGCCGCCTCCTTGGAGAAACCATTCCTGCTCACTCTCCCTAATGTGGCTCGTCCTTCTCAGCCATTCTTTGTCTGGTTGCTTTGCTTCCTTTCTAACACATGTCATATGGAAGCCATCCTGCGTGTGTGTTGACCATTTACTCCCCTTTACGAAGGCAGGAACTGTCCTTGCACAGTTCACTGCTGTATCCCAGGTCTATGGTATGAAAGGTTTTGTCACACGCTTGGTGCTCAAGCAGTTTGTTGGGTGGAAATGAATGGATAAATGAGTGAGGTGACACTGATGTCTACCCAGGAGGAAAATATTCTGTGACTTTAAATGGGGGCAGGGCAAGAGCTAGGACGCTGGCCTGAAGCCTCTTGGTCATCAGGACGTGTCCAGCAGGAGAGGGACTCATTGGCCCATGCATTTTCTGAATTACAAAGTGTGCCAGGGGCATGTAATTCTATTACCTGGCACCTAGGAGGAGGGGTTTTCATTGAAATCCCGGCCAGCTGGAAGCATGTCTGTGTCAGTCCTATCTGCAAGGCAGAATGGACTTATCGTCAGCACCGTCAGCCTGGAGAAGTTGCAAGTCCCCAAAGACGCCGCACCCGTGTGCTCAGCAGCTGGGCTCCGGCACACCGACAAGCCTGCACCTCACACCTCCAACAGGTGAGGGAGGGGACGAGGTGGGGGCAATCAGAAGAGGAAAGACTCATGGGCATTAGGATCATTGATACATTGAAAATAACTGTCATTAGTACCTCAAGTGGGCCGCTTCCCAGCTTATGTGAAAAGTGAAGAGAACAAAATCTGAGACTTCTAGTCTTACAGAGCCAGCCCCACTGCTTG